CTAATGAACATTGATGTAAAAATCCTCAATAAAATACTGGGCAACTGAATCTAGCAGCACATCAAAAAACTTATCCACCATGATCAAGTTGGCTTCATCCTTAGGATGCAAGGTTGGCTCAGCATACCCAAATCAGTAAATGTGGTTCATCACCTAAACAGAACTACTGAATTGGCAAAAGCTGGAAGCATTCCCCTTGAAAACTGGCACGAGACAAGGATGCCTTTTCTCACCCCTCCTATTCAACATAGTATTGGAAGTTCTGGCCAGGGCAATTAGGCAAGAGAAAGAAATAAAGGGTATTCAAATAGGAAGAGAGGAAGTTATCTCCAAATTATCTTTGTTTGCTGATGACATGATCCTATGTCTAGAAAACCCCATCCTCTCAGCCCAAAAGCTTCTTAAACTGATAAGCAACTTCAGTAAAGTCTCACGATTCAAAATCAATGAATCAATGTGCAAAAATTGCTATCATTCCTATACACCAATCAACAGCAAGCAGAGAGCCAAATCATGAATGAACTCCTATTCACAATTGCTACAAAAAAAATAAAATACCGAGGAATACAGCTAACAAGGGAAGTGAAGGACCTCTTCACAGAGAACCACAAACCGCTGCTCAAAAAAATCAGAGGACACAAACAAATGGAAAAACATTCAGGCTCACGGATAGACAGAATCAATATTGTGAAGATGGCCATACTGCCCAAAGTGATTTATAGATTCAATGCTATTCCCTTTAAATTACCATCGACATTCTTCACAGAATTAGAAGAAACTATTTTAAAATTTGTATGGACCAAAAAAGAACCCAAATAGCCAAGACAATCCCAAGCAAATAGAAAACAAAGCTGGAGGCATCATGCTACCCAACTTCAAACTACACTGTAAAGCTACTGTAACCAAAACAGCATGATACTAGTACAAGAACGGAGACATAGACCAATGGAACAGAATAGAGAACTCAGAAATAAGACCGCACACCTACAACTGTCTGATCTTCAACAAACCTGACAAAAACAAGCAATGGGGAAAGGATTCCCTATTTAATAAACGGTGCTGGGAAAACTGGCTCGCCATATGCAGATAATTGAAAGTGGATCCCTTCCTTCCACCTTACACAAAAATTAACTCAAGATGGATTAGAGACTTAAATGTAAAACTCAAAACTATAAAAACGCTAGATGAAAATCTAGGCAATGCCTTCAGGACATAGGCACGGGCAAAGATTTCATGATGAAAATGCCAAAAGCGATTGCAACAAAAGCAAAAATTGACAAATGGGATCTAATTAAAGAGCTTCTGCACAGTGAAAGAAACTATCATCAGAGTGAACAGACAACCTAAAGAAAGGGAGAAAATTTTTGCCATCTATCCATCTGACATCTATCCAGCATCTACAAGGGACTTAAACAAATTTACAAGAAAAAAAAAACCATTAAAAAATGTGCAAAGGACATGAACAGAAGCTTCTCAAAAGAAGACATACATGCGGCCAACAAACATATGAAAAAAAGCTAAACTTGTCTGATCATTAGAGAAATGTAAATCAAAACCACAATGAGATACCATCTCATGCCAGTCAGAATGGCTATTATTAAAAAGTCAAAAAACAACAGATGCTGGTGAGGTTGCAGAGAAAAAGGAACGCTTTTACACTGTTGGTAGGTTTGTAAATTAGTTCAATCATTGTGGAAGACAGTGTGGGTGATTCCTCAAAGACCTAGAGGCAGAAATACTATTTGACTCAGCAATTCAAATCCTGAGTATATACCCAAAGGAATATAAATCATTGTGTTATAAGGACACATGCATGCCTATGTTCATTGCAGCACTATTCACAATAGCAAAGACATAGAATCAACCCAAATGCCCTTCAATGATAGACTGGATAAAGAAAATGTGGTACATATACACATGGAATACTATGCGGCCATAAAAAGGAATGAGATCATATCCTTTGCAGGGTCATGGATGGAGTCGGAAGCCATTATCCTCAGCAAACTAACGCAGGAACAGAAAACCAAACACCTTGTGTTCTCACTTAGAAGTGGGAGCTGAATGATGAGAACTCATGGACACATGACAGGGAACAACACACACTGAGGCCTGTTGGTGATGGGGGTGTGTTGGGGGAGGGAGAGCATCATGAAGAATAGCTAATGGATGCTGGGCTTAGTACCTAGATGATGGGATGACCTGTGCAGCAAATCACTATGGCACATGTTTACCTGTGTAACAAACCTGCACATCCTGTACATGTACCCCTGAACTTAACATAAAAGTTGAAGATAAAAAAGGTTAATTGTTTGTTATGTGAATTTCACCCAAACAAACTTTTCATGTAAAATTAAAATTAAAATCTCTCAAAGATGGGAGAGAGTTAAATAAAAGATCAAGGAGATGTTCATACACTGAAAAAAAAAAAACCTCTCAGTAAATTAAGAATAGGAAAGAACTTCCTCAACCTGATAAAGCATATTTATGAAAAAACTATAGCCAGAATCATATATAATGCTAAAAAACCTGAATGTTTGCCCCAAATGTCAGGAACAAGGCAAGGATGTCTGCTGTCACTACTTTCCCACAATATTTTATTGGAGGCTTTGTTTTCATTATAGCATGTATCACTACTGATTTATCTTGATTTTTATATTTGTTCATTTTTGTCTCTTCCATGAAGTCAGAGACCTTGTCTGTCTTGTTCTTCCTATATTATTAGCTCCTAAAATAGTGTCTAGCACAAGGTTGGTGTTCAATGAATATTTATTAAATGAATGAACTTTTGGGTAGTACTGTATAAGTGAGGTACACTTGTGTGACAAAAACATTTCTTTTTTTTATATACTTTTAAGTTCTAGTGTACTTGTGCACAGCATGCAGGTTTGTTACATAGGTATACATGTACCACGTTGGTTTGCTGCACCCACTAACTAGTCATTTACATTAGGTATTTCTCTTAATGCTATCCCTATGGGGTAGGTAGGGCCCCCTACCCCATGACAGGCCCCTGTGTGTGATGTTCCCCACCCTGTGTCCAAGTGTTCTCATTGTTCAATTCCCACCTATGAGTGAGAACATGCGGTGTTTGGTTTTCTGTTCTTGTGATAGTTT